CCCCCCCCCTCGCCCAAAAGCTGATATCTCCAGGGTCATTCTACAAGCGCGTAAGTCAGTTTTGTGAAGCTTTGTGAGAATTAAAGAAAAATAAAGAGCGTCCTAATCAGATCTATGACTGGTGCGTGCACTCGTTATTTTTCAGTTAAAAACTAATAAGAAATAAAGCTTTTTGTACAGCGCAAATTCACGCTCAACAACAAGCTCTGTGCGCTTTACAATCTATCTTATCACCCCGCAGACCTGGCAGCATTCTGAAACAACCTCAACTTCCTGGGAAGCATACGGTGCAGCCGGCCATTTTATAGGCGCTAAAAACATTAACGTACCGACAGAACCTTTTGCTTTCTATGGCCGGGTACCCTCCTGGGTGAAGTGAAGTGAAGTGAAGAAAATTTGTTTTAAGTGCTTTTCCCTAGGACACAGCGTCGGACCTAAACTCTAAACCCCCCGGACACGAAACCTCACGATTAGGAGTCCGGTAGCCTACCTAACCTCTAGACTACCTAAGCTCTAGACTACCTAACCTCTAGACTACCTAACCTCTAGACTACCTAACCTCTAGACTACCTAACCTCTAGACTACCTAACCTCTAGACTACCTAACCTCTAGGCTACCTAACCTCTAGGCTACCTAACCTCTAGACTACCTAACCTCTAGACTACCGACTCCACGCTTTGCTATTTCTTTTGAAACGAGGGAGGAAATAATTATTATATGGACTTTGAAGGAACCATTATTGCAAGATGCGCCTTGCTGTCTTTATTCTGTCCCCGTCGTTTTATGCAAGAAAAATTCTGAAATTATGCAAACTGAGCCCAAAAATGTGAAATTATGCAATTCTGTTAATTTTAACAAAGAATGATAAAGGAAAATAATTTTTAAAATTATGCAAAAAATGATCAAATTTTGCTAAATTATGCGGGGTGCATAAAACCACGGGGACAGTTTATTCGAATAACGGCTTTATATGGGAACCCCCAGAGATTGACGGTGGCGTCGGTGGTCTAGTGGTTAGGTTGCCGGGCTCGTAATCGTGAAGTCGCGGGTTCGGGGGTTCGAGCCTCAGCTTGCTTGGTCCGACGTCGTGTCATTGGGAAAGGCACTTTAGGCACTTTACACGAACTTCCCTCTTGGCGCGGTCCTATCGGAGATGGACGTTAAACATGGAGGTCGCACCTTTTAGATTGGCCTGCTAGTGTTGATAGGGCCGTTGATCCTATACCATTTTATTTTTTTCACATTTACAGAGATTGAGTGTGGGTGGTTGGCGGGTGCTCTGGTGTGGTTTGCTCCTTCTGTCCTATCAAACATCTATCGTCCTTATCTCCCCTGCTTCTTTTTGTACGTACGTTACTTTCTAGTAGTATAACCCCTCTCATTCTCGGCACCTGATATCGTCTAATTGTGTTGCAAGTGCCGTAAAACTCTTACTAAAACTGACAGATTGAGTTGAGCGGTGTTGGAATCAAGTTGGCTGTACGTGAGTTCGGGCATATTGTATATAATGTTTGTCTCTCGTGAACTACTTGAGAACTGTTGGCGTTACCAGCTAGGGAGGTTGTCATTCATCACTTGGAAATATATACTTGACTGAATCACACAGCGGGTGATGACTATTTTCGGTGTTATCACGTTCATTGGCAACACCAACACTGCACAGTTTAGTGTCGTGGGGTCGGGTGGGTCGGGTGGATGTCTATCGTTTTTGTGTGTCCTTAGTGTCTGACCCTTTTTGTGTGTCTTTTTTTTTTGACTGTCCTCTCTTCATCTTGTTTATTGATGGGCGGTTGGAGGGCGTCGCTGGTATGTCTTATGTTTGTTTTCTTTCACTCTGTCTGTCTGTCTGTCTGTCTGTCTGTCTGTCTGTCTGTCTGTCTGTCTGTCT